CAGAGAGGTCCATGAGCTATCGAAGATTGGATAAACCACACCGGCGTCAAGCCACTTGATAGCCTCTTTCTTTACCCCTTCTTGCATCGCCTCATTTATCCTCCTTTGATGTTCAAGTGAAGGCCTTGCGTCCTACTCTAAGATGATTTTATGCATGCAAAATGCGGGGCTTATCCCCCTAATATCCGCCAGAGTCCACCCTATTGCCCTTTTTCGCCTTTGAAGCACCTCCAAAGTGGCCTCAACCTGCATGTTAGTAAGGCAAGAAGAAAGAATAACTGGAAGAGTTGAATTAGAGCCCAAAAATTCATACCTGAGGTGTGGAGGAAGAGGCTTCAACTCCAACACCGGTGGCTCCTCAATAGATGGCTTAGTTGGTGGAGTTTTGCGGTTTTCAAGATCCAAAGATAACTTCCTAGGCTCATATGAATATGAACCCATACCATGCAATACATTCACGCACACCACTCTATTAGCATCATCATTGACATCCATGTTAAGAAGCACGGCCTCAAGAGGATCCTCAACATTTATCATGGAACTTGTGTCATCCACTATCATAGCTGTGACAATGTCCACAAATGAACACACCTCCGTGCTATTGGGTTGTCTCATTGATTTGCAAACATGGAATACCACCTTCTCATCTCCCACTCGGAATGTCAACTCGCCTGCTTCAACATCAACTAAGGCCTTTCCCGTAGCTAGGAAAGGTCTCCCAAGAATAATCGGCACTTCAAAGTCCACCTCACAATCCAATATGACAAAGTCGGCCGACAATATGAATTTGTCCACCCGGACAAGAACGTCATCAATTATACCCAAAGGCCGCTTCATCGACCGGTCCGCCATTTGAAGTCTCATTGAGGTTGGCCTAGGTTGTCCAATTCCTAAAGTCTTGAAGACTAAATAAGGCATCAAATTAATGCTAGCCCCCAAGTCACAAAGGGCCTTAGAAAACTCCGCACTACCGATAGTGCAAGGGATAGTAAAAGCATCCGGGTCTTCAAGTTTCGGGGCCATAGAATGCACTATCGCACTAACTTGGTGAGTCATCTTTATTGTTTCACAATCCATGGAACGCTTCTTTGTGACCAAATCCTTCATGAACTTTGCATAGCTCGACATTTGTTCAAGTGCCTCCACCAAAGGCACATTGATTGTAAGGCTTTTCATCATATCTATGAACTTCTTGAATTGATTGTCACTCTTTTTCTTTGCTAACTGCTGAGGATAAGGTGGAGGTGGTCTAGGCAAAGATGCCTTGGCTTTGGGCACCACCGGCTCGGGTATATCAATAATGTGTTCCCTAGACGGGTTCACGGCATCTTGTGTTTCCACCTCGGCCTCGTCAATATCTATCCTCACCTCATTGTTCACATTTGTCTCACCCACATCTTCAACAATCAAAGGACCCACATCTTCTTGGAACCCAACATCATCATTCACAACTTGATTGTCATTCGAGGCATGCACATCACCGCCTCTCCCACTTCTTGTTGTAACCGCCATCACATGATTGTTTCCTCCCTTCGGGTTCACTACCGTATCACTTGGTAGAGCACACTTAGGTCGAGTATTCAATGATTGAGAGATTTGGCCTAGTTGCACCTCCAAATTCCGAATAGAGGTATTATGGGAAGCCAATTGAGCATCGGAGTCTTGGTTCTTCTTCATCATTTGTTCGAACATCATTTCTATTCTCCCCATATCACTACCCGAAGAACTAGACCCTTGAGATTGAAAGGGAGGTGGATTGTTCGGTTGTTGGTACATTGGGGGCCTTTGAAAGCCTTGCCCCCGGTTGCCTTAATTTCTGCTATTATTCCACCCTCCTTGATTGTTGTTGTTGTTTCTCCAATTATTATTGTTCTCGTTCCAATTACCTTGAATGTTACCTTGGTTACCCCAATTGTTGTGTTGATTGTTGTTGTTCCAATTGCCACCACCTTGTTCTTGGTTGTTATTATTCTAATTACCGCCGCCTTGTTGATTGCCCCAAATTCCTTGGGGGCGCCATTGTTGATTCCCTTGATTTCCTATAATCCCTTGGTAGTTATTGACATATTGACATTCCTCACTTTGATCATCATAGCACTCATTCGAATAACCACCACCATCATTGTTGTTGTCAAATTGCTCACCATTACCTTGAGGTTGTTGTTGCCCTCTTTGCCTCCTTTTTAGCATAGAAACACCTTCCATTGCATTGACTTGGCGTGGGTTTTGGACTTGTTGCAATTGCGCCTTCGCCAATTGATTCATAGTTGTTGTAAGCTCGGCAATAGCTTGGCCATGATCATTCAATTCCTTGTGCAAATGGATGACCGTGGAGTCACCTTGGGGTACATTTGCTCGGCTTTGCCATGCCGAAGAGGTGTCACCATTTCATCAAGTACATCACATGCCTCTTGGTAAGAAAGTTTCATAAAGTTCCCTCCGGCTAATTGGTTCACAATGCACTGATTCGTGGTGTTGATGCCCCTATAAAAAGTTTGTTGTATCATTGCCTCGGTCATGTCGTTATTAGGGCACTCCTTCACCATTGTTCTATATCTTTCCCATATCTCGTGCAAAGGTTCCGTTGGCATTTTCTTGAAGGCTAGAATCTCATCCCGAACAGCCGTCATATGACTTTGAGAAAAGAACTTGGCAATAAATTTGTTCGCCAATTCATCCCATGTGGTGATAGAATGATTGGGGAACCTTTCTAACCAATCCAACGCTTTACCCCGAAGAGAGAACGGGAAAAGCCTCAATCTCAACGCATCCTCGGACACGTTTGTTTGCTTGCTACCCCAGCATGTATCTACGAACCCCTTCAAGTGCTTGTAGGCATTTTGATCCGAGGCGCCCGTAAAATACCCTCTTTGCTCGAGCAAGGTCAACATAACATTTGTGATTTGAAAGTTCCCCGCCCGGATTCGGGGAGGAACAATGGCACTCGCATATCCTTGATTCGGTAGCACCCGAGGAACAGCTCTTGGAGGTGGCGGAGGAGGGTCTGGGACGTTGTCATTAGCATTGGCCTGGCGGCCTCTTCGTGGTCCTGGAGATATAAGAGGCACCTCATCATCTCCAATATCCTCAACCTCCTCCCCCGCAAGCACATTTCCAAGAGGGTCGTTTGCATTTACAACCATAGTACCTGAGTAATCGACACAAACAAAATTAGTAAACAAGAAGGAAAGAGAAGCAAAACACAAAACTAACTAAACAGATAGTCAACACCATAAGCTCCCTGGCAACTGCGCCAAAAAATGATTGGAGCCAACTCGACACTACACCAAGGTAGGAAGAGCGGGTCGCAAAAGCTTTTACCCGAATAGTGGTCGGGATCGATTTCCACATAGAGCTAGTAGTGGAGTTGGATTTTTTGTCTAGTCGAGATGTGTTTGTGCTCCTAATATCGCTTCAAACATTCTTGGTTTTTGATTTTATAACTACTATGATAAAACTAATTATTAGTGCTAATTTATGCTACTAGAATATTGCAAAGTTGTATCTAATGGGAAGGAAGGCAATAGGGTCGTGGAATTACCTAGGTGGCTAATTGACGGGTAGATGTTACTAAGGACAGATTGACATATTTGGGGCTTATGCTATAACCATTTCACAATGGTGCCCACTCTCACACCTCTCGGTAGAGAGAGTGATTTTGCCCAATTGACTCTCTCGAGACCAATTGGATAGGCCAATTAGATCAAGCAACTAGGGTTCAAGTAGGGTGATTACTCTCTCGAGATTTAACCCGTTAATTGGGACTATCATTTCTCATGACTCCATCCCAATTCCTTGTTGGGTCAATCACCAATTCTTAAATAAAAATATAAAATCAACCCAAATAACAAACACCCATAATCAATCTAACCCTAGATGGAAACACCCATCAATTACCCACACTAGGGTTGAGCCACAACCCTAGCTAATGGGTTTAGCTACTCATGTTAGATACATAAATTGAAGAAATAGATGAAGAACTAAGCATATTAATTGATTACTAAGAAGAAACTACAATAATCTATTGTTAATGAAGAGCAAAAGTGCCAAAAATGGCTACAAAAGTGAGTCTCACGAGCGCAGATCAGTCTGGAATATCAAACTTGACCTAAAAATGGTAAAATGTCCTATTTATACTAGGCTGGAAAAATCGGACAAAAATACCACTGCGGGGTCAGTGCGGGTCGCGCTAAGGTGACCGCGGCCGCACTAGCTCTTGAACTTCAATTTATGCTTCTCTGAACTTGAGGACCGCGGACCGCGTGAAAGTGTACCGCGGCCGCGGTGGAAGTTGGCGCGGCCGCACTAAAACTAGCGCGGGCCACATTGCTTGGAATTGGAAAAATGTGAGCTCTCTGAATCTCTGCTCCGCGGACCGCACAAAAGAGTAGCGCGGCCGCGGAGCCTGACCGCGGACCGCGTGAGTCGTACCGCGCCCGTGTTGCCTCCAGCTTGAAAATGCCAACTCTCTGAACCTCCTAGTGCGGCCGCATTCACTTTTGCGCGGTCCGCACTAGGTTCTCTTTTCCTCAATTTACTTAGTCTTTGACAGTTGAGCAGGTTTAACTCCTACTTGAGCCGTTCTTTGACATTTGTCGCTTTGTCGATCAAACCTTCAATCAAACATAACTTGTGAGCATTTTGGGACTATTTTGTAGCAATTTATAACCAAAGCGTAGGCAAGTAGGGGCATAAAACATGTTAAATCCCGACTTATCACTCCTCTATCGATGGTTTCGCAGGTGGTGTTGTTCTTTCTTCTAAGTGTAGGGGCTCGAACTGGGGTTCCCTTTTCTAGAAGCCTTGACCTTCGAGAACCATGACCCACTCTACCAACTCCTCACCATCCACATTTTCCAAATTCATCAAACAGGCTTCTAACAAATCCCTGACATTAAAAGTCTCATCCTCCTCTTGTAGTATTACATCTACGGCCTCCACTATCGAGCAATTTGCAAATTCATTGGGGTCTCCTCATAGATTGTTGAACATTGAATATTTTATTCTTCATTGTTCAAACTCATTTTCAATTCTCCAGTCTCACAATCAATCAATGCTCCCCCAGTGGCTAAAAACGGCCTTCCTATAATGATTGGTATCTCTTCATCCACTTGACAGTCAAGAATGACAAAATCTGCAGGGAATACAAATTTCCCCACTTGAATAAGCACATCATCAAGAATTCCTGTCAGTCTTTTGGCTGTGCGATCAGCTAGTTGCAGTAACATTGAGGTCGGTCTAGCTTTGCCAATGAGTTTTATATAGATTGCCAAGGGCATCAAGTTTATACTGGCTCCCAAGTCGCACAATGCTTTAGCAAAAGCATAACTCCTAATGGTGCATGGGATAGTGAAACTACCTAGATTAGACACCTTTTGAGCCATAGGCCTTGTAACTACTGCGTTGCAGGTCTCTGTCAGAGTTACAGTGGACAGGTGCTGGAAGTCAAATTTTCGCGACATCAGGTCCTTCATTATTTTTGCATACCCTAGCATTTTCCTCAAAGCATCCATCAGTGGAATATTCAATTGAATATGTCTAAGCATTTCCATGAATTTCCTGTATTTATCATCTTTCTTTTGCTTTGCCAGCCTCTGAGGGAATGGTGCAGGAGTCAACCTCTGCCCACTGCCTTGTGTCTTTTCTTTGCTGGAAGCTTTTTCTACCACCTGTTCTGGGAGTTGTTCACCTTCCTTCTCCTTACCCTTGTCAACCTGTGCCTGTTCAATTACAACCTCGGTGAGCTCTGCTGACTCATCTTTCTCTAATGTAACTGGAGTAGTTTGCATTGTCTCTCTCTTATATTGATCAACTTCTTGCTCCCTGTCTAAATATCTTCCATTCCTGAGACTCACTGCCATGAGCTGATTTGAGTCTACTCCTTTGGATTAATGTTTGTATCTGCAGGCAATGTTCCTTGTGGGCGATTGTTCAAGGCCATAGATAGCTGTCCTAATTGAGTTTTAATGCCTTTGATTGTTGAATCATGTGCAACAAACTTCTCTTGCATATTTCCATTTGTCCCAATGAGTTGTTGCATCATGCCCCTGATTTCGATCATGTTACTGTCCTACTGGAGGTGGTTGGTAGGCCAACTGTTGCTGGTGCTGTTGATTATAGCCTTGCTGCCTTTGATAAGGCACGACTTGGACTTGTGGTAGTGCTCCTCCTGGATTGGGGTTGTGCTGTGGCTGGTTTGGTCTGTACTGCTGGTTTGATGTTGGTCCCCATTGCTGCCCACCTTGCCTCTGACCTCCGAAATTATTGACATAATTCATGTCTTCTCTGAACCCTGGTTGTCATTCTCTCCACTCCACGAGCACACATATGACTGGTTTATGCAAGGAGTGCATAAGCCTCCATTTGTGGTATCAACAATCTGCACGTGTTTCGTACGCATCTCATCGATTTTCTTTGTCAGCAAGCTCATCTGGGTCGTGAGAGTGGCTATGTTTTCTGCATTTGTATTGTTTGGGTCAAGAGCAACAGAATGCACTATTGGAGTGAGTGTTGTGTCTCACGTCATCCAGCCTAAATTTTGAGACATCTTGTGAAGAAGAATCTTACACTCTGTGAATGTTTTGCTCAAGAATGCACCCCTGGCAGAAGCATCTACATTGGCCTTCAGACTGTCGGCCAAACCCATATAGAATCTCTGTCCCAGCATCTGATCCGAAATTCCATGGTGCGGACACTTCACCAACATACCCTTATACCTCTCCCAGGTTTCTTGCAAGGGGTCAGTCGGTTTCTGCCTGAATTGCAATATCTCATCAATTTGCCTTGCAGTTTTGTTGGGTAGATAAAACTTGTTTAAGAACTGCTTGACTAGTTCCTCCCAAGTAGCAATGGAGTTTATTGGGAGCGAATTCAACCAAGTTTGAGCCTCCCCAGTCACTGAGAATGGGAACAGTAATAATTTGATTGCCTCAGGAGTCACATTCAGATGTCTTTGAGTGACACAAATTGATAGAAAGTTCTTCGGATGTTGTTGTGGGTGTTCGATGTATGACCCGGAGAACAACCCTTTATTCTGCAACAGGCGTAGCATATTGTTGGTAATATGGAATGTCTCCGCTTGTATCTAAGGAACCGTAATTGCTGTGGCAAGGTTATCAGCAGTTGGTTGTGCCCAATTATAAAGAGCAGCTTCCGGCACAAGAGGTGCTACCACTTTGACATTTGGGCCATCTCGATTATTCCTGTTGTTCCAGTTGAAGTTGTCTACGTCACCCATTTCAATTTTGAATTATTCGTTTTGTTTTAGCCGTTTACCCTTCTAGTTAGCTCGGTTCAATGTCCGGAATGCTTTCTCGGCATCTGAGAGTCCTTCAAAGAGTTCACCGGTTCTCAAGGAGCTTCTAGGCATGCACCCGAGTCACAGATGAGTTCAAACGTGAGAATTACAATGGAAATATTTTTAACACCACAAAAAATTGATCTAAACTAATAATCCTAGTAATTCTTCCAAGTTGTAATAAATTACACCGTCAGTTCCCCAGCAACGGTGCCAAAATTTGATCACGCCCAACTATGCCTTATAAAAAGGACTAAGCGGTCACTGCAAAAGTAATTTGGTTCAAATTCGGAGTCGAATCCCATAGAGAACTTACCTATTTACTACAACTTTTAACACTGCTAATGATAAGCTCAAATAATTCCCCCGGATACAAGATTTTTAATGGATAATGAGTAGAATTTAGTTAACTAAGGAAAAATGACAATAAAACTAGCAATAATCAAGAATAGAGTTGAATTCAATGTTAAATGGTCTAGGGTTATTGATTTCCCCAATTGTCGGATTAATTCCTGACACATTAACTATAATCTCGCCGTAACACTCTATAAGGAATATGAGTTGTGGGCTACCGCAATTATCTCTCGATCAATTACGATAATTTACTAAAAGCATTCTCTCGAACTACTCTAGTTAACAATTTATGCAACTCGGAATTATCCCACCAAAGCTTCGTTATCTCTAACCCAGCTTTTAAATTCAAGTAATTAATCTCTTAACTTACCCAAAAGTGGTGTTGTTCAACAACAATCTAACCAAGTGTTCTTTCTCAAGCAACACAAGATAACTAGACACTATTAATCAAGGGCCCTTTCAATTAATCACAAGACAACACGTAGTTGAACAATCATAGAGTAAAAACGGCTCAATTATATCAAAATTGACTCAAGATTTAATCCAACAATTGGTTCCATCAACCCTAGATGACGGGTTTAGCTACTCATACTAATAGATAATAATTCATTATAGAAAATCATAATCAACAATGGAATTAAAAAGAAGAAGATGAAAACTCTAAGGAAAATTCTCTATCTTTCTCCCGTGTTCTTGCCTTCAAAATCTCTCTAAAAACAGCTCGCTCTCTCTTCTGGGCGAATTAGGCTTCATCTGGGTTTAGGTTGGTTGCATTGGAAATTACATAATTTACCCTGGGTTATTGGCTTCCGTCAGCTCGTCCGCGGCCGCGGATCTGATCGCGGATTTTGCCCAGTATTCTGCCTTAGTGCGCGGTCAATCCGCGGCCGCGCACCTGGAGGGGACTTTCCCACTTGCTTTTCTTTCTCCTTTTCCACCATGCTAACCTCCGATTGGCCTTCCACGCTCCATATTGACTCCAAAATACTCTTTAGTTTCCTCATAGCTCGGAGTGGCTCCTACAAAACATAAAACTCTTAATTAGAGCATTTTGTTATCTTTTAACATTCAGACATTGATAAAGTGCGGCCAAATTAGAGTGTAAATAGTATCTAAATTGCATAATTATAGTCTACTATCAATCCCTTAGACAAAGAAAGCACCTCTATTCAAGTGTTGTTGAAAAGAATGGCCTCTCTTTTTCCTTGTTGACTTGAGACCTTAAATCTTTTAATTGTGAAAAAACTAGAAAAACAATTCATCTGCTCACATAAGATAATTTGCACATGCTTTCATATTGTGAACTAAGGCAGCCTTATTGAACTTGTGCATAAATGTTATTGAATCCTCGATTGTCGTCTCTACTACCACATTGAAGTGTGTGACGAGTAGTGAGAATATTGATGGAGTTGCTGTGAGCACCTAATTTTTGCCCCGCATGAAGTACTCCAAAAAAAATAGTCCAAAAATAATTTTAATGTTTTTTTTATGAATTATAGGAGTTTTTATTTATTGTGTGTTTTGTATTTAGTTGCATATTTAATATCTTAATATCATAGAAAAACACCAAAGAATGTTCAATGTTGCATTGCGTAAGCATGTTAGACCTTAATTGCATTTAAGATTTAATTACAAGAGTTAATCGCATTATTAAATAAAAAATCACAAAAATATTGGTCATCTTTACATTTTTAGCTTTTAGTTTTAAATTAGTAGTTATTTTTAAGTTAATTAATTATTTTAATGGTAGAAGTAGATAATTAGGTTTAATTCTGCAAATTAGGTTTGAATTAGGATTTGATTTAGATTTTTAATTAACTTATTGGCGAAATACATAAACGGCCCCTTTAAGTTGTCCACAACGACCAGACAAACACATCAACTGAACCCTTTACCATTTAGACACTTCAAGTGTCCATTAACCAGATCAAATAAATACCCGAGTGCAACAGATCATATACGTGAGTTACACTCGCTAATGACGTGTCAAATGAGCCAATTAATGAATGACACGTGTAATTTATAATAAAAATTTGACACATATAATAAACAAATATGAAAATGCATTTAAGGAATGAAAAAAGCCTTTTTCCTAACTTTTTTACAAAAGCAGCGCAACCCCTCCCCCCCCCCCCCCCCCACAACGAACTATCATCTTCTTCTTCCGCCCACCAGCGCCACCCCACCCCTTTCATCTTCTTCCTTCAAATCCACCCTCCATTTAATAAATTGAACATAATTCATTCCTATCAGACCCCTTCATCTTCCCACTAAGTGATCAGTAACGGAACTCGTCGGAAAAAGCTCCTCTCATGCGACCTCTCTCGCCGGAAAATTAATCTCCAAGCAAATCGCCAGAAAATCGCCGGAAAATTGCTGTAATTTTTGTTGCTTATCAGTTGGGTTTGGAACTAGTTTTGGCTTGAAGAAATTAATCTCTGAGCACATCTCCAAGCAATTCGCCGGAAAATTGCTATAATTATTGATGTTTATCAGTTGGGTTTGGAACTAGTTTTTGCTTGAAGAAATTATGCAGAGCTCTGGAGGTTATGGGAAGTGGAATTTTGTGATGAAATGGGCAGTTTCTGGTGATTTTCGGTAACTTGATTGGAGCTTTAGTGGCTGGTTTTAATGGTGGTTTCACGGTGACGTTCACGTGGGTTAATCAAGCCAAGAAGAGAGGCTAAGATACGCCCAATTCTAAAGTTTTTTCAAAGAAAAAAAATTAGGTTGAAAAAATGATTCACGCGCTTAAAATTTTATTAGCAAACACGCGCATACCACATCAACAATATGTGTTTATTTGATCTGGTTAATGGAAACTTGAAGTGTCTAAATGGTAAAGGGTTCAGTTGAGGTGGTTGTCTGGTCGTTGTGGACAACTTAAAAGGGGCCGTTTATGTATTTCGCCTAACTTATTTAGAATATTAAAGTAAGGAAAAGAAAGAAACAAAGAGAGTAAAAGCAGGGATGTTATTCGTATTGGGCCAAGCACTTCAGCTGGCCCAATTGCTCTCAACCTCGCCCCAACCCAAATCCCCATCTCTGCCCGGTCCACACCCAAACGCCCAAAACGATGCCGTTTCTCAGGCTGTTGATCTCAGCCTTTGGATCAACTATTATCCAATGGTCGGGAACTAATCGCTCTTCCCCCTTTTAAGTGTCGGAACAATGGTCCCTAACCCCCCCAGAACCCTCTCATTCTCCATC